CCAAACAGTGAAATCAATCACTGCAGGAAGTTTGATTATTTCCTGTGAATATTGATCAGAGATGAGTTTACCTGATATTTTGATATTCTGTATTTTTTACCATTTCTAACAGACTAATATTATTTTATATTTCATAAGAATAATATGAAATATACAGACAATATGTCAGTGGTCAGTTGAATGTTGATTTAGTGCACGTAACAACCAGAAACAACTGATCAGAACAGGTGACTGATTATTTAAATTAGCCAGCTGCACTTTGTGGGACTTTTCCCTCCACGCTGAAACACAGTCAGTATTTCAGGGTCAGACTGGGATCGATCTGGTGAGTTTTGGTGCCGGCTGGTGATTTCCCAGCATGCTTGTGATCGGAGCTGTTATGTGTTTGTGGTCTTATCAGTGTGTTAGCAGATAAACTGAGGCTGTTAGCTCAGCTGCTACACTTTGTGGCTCAGGTGTGGCCCCCAGTGTGAAGAGTTTGTTGTTGAGTGTAAGTCACTTAACACATTTATTGACCTCTTCCACTTCAGGAACTTTTCAACCAGCCCAGGAAGCTTTCTGAGAACTCGGGAACTGTATCTGCATTTCAATCATAAGAGTCTTTAGTTCCAGACCAGTGAACATTCAAACAGAGACTGTGGTCAACAGTGAAATGACGAATACTGCTCCCGATTAAAGATTGTCGGCTAGCAGTTGTTAGGTAAAGCCAGTGGTTGACCGTTGATTGTTTTTGATATAACTGTATTGATTATAATGTGTATATCTGTTAAATGCTAAATAATAAACACAGTCTGGTTGTTCAACAGACAGAATAAACCATTCCAACTTCACTGAAACTAATCCTGACTGAAGAAGAGACTTCCTGTGTTTTTACCTCTCAGGTAACTACGGCCTGTGGGATCAGCATGCTGCCATCTCCTGGGTCCGCAGGAACATCGAGGCGTTCGGAGGAAACCCAGACAACATCACCATCTTCGGCCAATCAGCCGGAGCCGCCAGCGTCAGCTTCCAGGTCAGAGGATACAATTATTGATTACAACCAATCAGAGATGGATTTTAAAAACTGTCTTTTTAAATCAAATTTGTGAGTTTTTTTTATAGTTTATTTATATTTTTTCATTCACAAACTGAACCATACACACAAATATCCCTTCCACCGACCAACCAACCTGTCCTCGAGGATTTACAGACGTCAATCAGCACTTACCCAGTCAGGTTCAACCTTGAACTGAGGCAGCAAAAGAATAAAGTAGATTGAATGTGAGAAATATAAATCAAAATTATGAAATAATAAAAATAATTACAAGAAGTCAAATTGTTTTTACCTCCAACATTAAGAATTTCTTTTATGAGACTAATTATGTTTAAATTAATGTCAAAAACAAAATAAAAATGACCTTTTATAATTTTGAGAAACTTAAGACTTTCAAAAACTTAATTATGAGTTAGTATCACTTACTAACTCATGACATACTAATAAAAACAAACCTACATTTAGAATTATTATGTAATAATTTTGGCTTATATTTCTAACTTTTCTCTCAGTTATAGTTGTTTGGTTTCTTCAATGAATGTTGGCAGGAAGGAATAGATAGTGACACACTGAACCTCATCATGTTGATGTCTATCTGTCTGTCTGTCTGTCCCCTCAGATGCTGTCTCCCTACAGTAAGGGCTTGTTCCGCAGGGCGATCTCGCAGTGTGGTGTGGCCCTCAGTCCCTGGGCTCTGCAGAACAACCCGATGGCTCTCACCAAGAAGGTCCATAAACCTGCGGCTTTATTTCCTGACTGTAGATGACGATAAATATTAAGATATACATTTGGATTAAATAATTATTGTTCAGCTCTGCATTAATATCAGATTGTTGATTTGTGCTTCTGCAGGTTGCTCGGAAAGTCGGCTGCTGGAGAACCAACATAGACGAGATGATAACGTGTCTGAAGATGAGCGACCCGGTCGGTCTCACCATGGCTGGAAAAATCGACATTCTGCTTATTCTCGGAAAAGGTCAGAACAACAGAGGAATCCCCTCTGAGTATATTTTACCCCTTCGTCCCACTCAGACCCAGTTTAAGCAAGCTCTAGTGGACTGAGTGTGAAAACTTGTCCAGATTTACTACGAGTGATGACACAGTGCAGGGGGGAGTTTTTCTGCCACCACTTGTGATTTCTCTCTTGCAAATAAGTGTTTTAATACTTATTCATAACTTACTTACTTGTAACTCTAACCGCTTTCCTTCCAAATGCCGTCCTTTTTTGAGGATATCGGTTATTATAAAAATGAGCTGTGGATCATTTAAGATGTTCCGTTTCTCAAACTTATAGGACATAAAGGATGGAGACAGATAATACACGTATAGTGCGCAGATTTTATTATATCACATGTTGTCTTTAGGAAACAAAGCTGGCTATAGCCTTGATATCGAGTGCTGACTGGAGGTGAAACAGAACAGCAGGTCATCAGCAAAGATTTTGATAAATAAAAGAACCAGAGCAATTTGTTTTGTTTGCTGAGGTTTCCAGTCCATAAAAGTTGGACACTTCTATCTCAGTGTCTCGCTCCTCTCCCCAGGTGTGGTCATGGATCTCCTTGAATTCTCTCCGGTGGTCGATGGGGATTTTATCCCTGATGAGCCCAGTAAGTTGTTTCACAATGCGGCTCAGTTTGATTACCTGGCTGGAGTGAACAGCATGGATGGACATATCTTCGCTGGAGTCGATGTTCCTAATATCAACAAAAAAAATGCAACCACTGTGTGAGTACAGGAACACCATGGATGGACTTTGTACATAAGTAGATATATATAGGAAATGTACATTTCTAGTAAAAACATAGTTTATAAATAACACAAATTTAATATCATGCAAAAATGTATATTTTTAGGTTGTGATTCGCATATGGCTCAATTCTGGGCCCACTGCTCTTCAGTCTTTATATGTTACTTCACATGGAAGTCATCACATAAAACCACAATTTTAAGTTTCATCACTATGCAGACAACACGTGGCTGTTGATCCTGATGATGTCAGACCTTTCAGCGCTTAAAAACTGTATCTGTGACATCTGTGTGGACGACTCCAGGTTCGTCCAACTGAATCACAAAAAGCTCAGATTGTAGTTGTAGCACTCGGAGAGTGTGCAATACCATAGTCCCATAACAGGTAATACAAGGATATTTATCACTGACACTGACGCTTTTCATTAAAAGTAACTTTTATCTTGAACTTGATTCAATTTACCTAAATACACAATGGGGCGGCTGTGGCTCAGAGGCAGAGCGGGTCGTCCCCGTTGGTTCGATCCCCGGCTCCTC